TCGCCGCCGCCCACTTCTTGTGCACTCCGCTGCCGACATGCGTAGGGAAGTTCATCGTGAACGCGGTCTGATCACTCTTGTCGCTGTCGCAGCTCGCGCTGCAGTCCGCAGTCGCGTACAGCGATTCGGCGGAGGCGCAGAGGGACTCACTGACGCCGCCGTCGCCTGCTCCGTACTGAGACACGTCCACCGAAACGATGTCCACGGTAACAACATCCTCCGCGGCAGAGTCCTCCCCAACAATTGTGTAGTCGTGCGCTCCCACCGCGGCCGCACACTTCTTCCACGCAGTTTCTCTAGAGAAGCGCCAACTTAACTTGTTGTCACTGTCCGCGCAGGACACCTCCACCGACACATTCACCGGCTGCCATTCTTTTGGCAGAACCGCCGGCGGAGATGCACGCTTTGCAGTCGTAGCAGCAGCAGGAGCCCCCGTCGCCCCGCAGACGGAGGGGGCGCAGCAGCAGCCGCAGAGCAGCACGAGGAGCGCCAACGCGCACACCGCACGGTGCCGCACCGTCAACGTCGTCATCGGCAGAAGTAGTAGTAGTGCTCGTAGAGTCGTGGCAGACTCGCTGAAGCCAGCGGGGAAAAAAAGACGCAGGAAACGAGAGAAGTAGAGGGAAAAGGAGAGGGAGTGCAGCGGAGACAGTGAAGAGAGCAGGTCGCAAAAAGAAAAAAGGCGGGAGCCGAGCAACTTCACGCAGCCACGCAAGAAAGACTCACAGCAGCGCCGGCAGCCACCCACGACGGAGCAGCGAAGAGCAGCCGCCACCACACGCACACGCACACGGGAAGTGGGCCCGCCGCCACCACCCAAATGAGGCGGCCCCCGCAAGGAAAACGAGTTAGCCACAGCGCACTCCCCCTCGTCCTGTGCGTTTTCCTTCCCTTCTCTTCAAGGCTCGCGAGGAAACCGCAGCAGCAGCAGCCGCACCCGGCACTGGCAGCGCAGGCCGCGAAAAGGCCATCCACCCGCACGGCACTACAGTCGCATCGCATGCACGTCCATTGTGTGTGTGTGTGTGTGCCTGCAGACACGCAACGCAAAGAGGGAGAAGAGAGAAGCGTGTGGCGGCACGCAGACAAACACACACGCACAGCAGAGGCGCAGGACGGAAATGAAACCAAAAGAGGCCGGAGCCGGCACCGCAGCCCAAGCGGCCGCCAGCCACGGGAAACATGATAAAGAAAAGCAAAGAAGAAAAAAAAATCGTCCTGCATCATGTATAAATCCCCCACAAACCCCAAAAGAAGAATTACTTTCCCCCATGATGTTTTCTCTCCAAAAAAAAAATGAGGCGGCGGCGAGCTGTCGCGTGGCCTCGCAAAAACTGAGTGTGTATTTTCTGCCCGCGGCCAAAGCAAAGGCGGCTAGCATTTCACCTCATTGTACTCCTCCTCACGTTCGCGCCGGCCATTTGTACCTCACAGCCCCTCCGGTGCGCGTGGTGCCCTTCTCGGGCCGCGCAAGCAAAAGAGCGGGGAAAAGAGAATGGCGCATGTAAGCCCGGCCCAGAAAGTAGGGCCCACGCACCCGTGGGGGAAAAAAAAGAAAAAGAAAAAAACTGATTGAGCACAACAAAAAAGAAAAAAAAGAAAAGAAACAGGGACTTTTCACGGACAGCAATAAATTGTTTTTGGATCGCATGCGTGAGTGTGCCCCTCTTCGGCCTCTCAACCCTCGCTGCATTCTGCCGCTCAGGCAAGCGCCCCGGCGCCCCACATCCCCAGCAGCAGCAGCGGCAGCAGCAAGGGAGCCGCATTCCCACGCACAACGACGCCACCATCGGCATTCTTCCGCAACATCATTTCGGCGTCGGTGATAAACGTGGTCCAGTCCCGGGGGGCGTCCGGGCCACCGCTCCCTCCCTCGGGCGCAGGGTCCGTGGGCGGGGGGCTGGAAGAGTCCGGGCTCCCGACTGTGGCGGCTGCGTCTGTGGGATGTTCAGCGCCGCCCGCACCATCGGCCGCCGGGGTGCCCGCTGCAGGTGCTTCAGGGGCCGCTGGTGCCGCTGGTGGCTGCGCTTCTTCACCACGAAGAGGGTTTCCGGCGACGGGGGGCTCAGGCAGCACCGCCTTGGACGGTAGCTGGCAAATGCCTGGCGTCTCGGAGAGGGCGGTCTCAGTTGCGATTGACGCCGTCCAGTCCCTGCAAAACCCGCTCTTTCCCTCCTCACGCTGAAATTTAATCGTGAACGCAACAGCGTCCTCGTTGGCCCCAGCACACGCCGTGGCACACTCCCAATCCTGGTACTGCTCTTCGACGTCATGGCACAAGGCCGAACACTCAAGGAATCTTCCCCCCCGCACACCTTTCGTACACGGCGTCCAGTTGCCCTCGCCGGGAAAGCGCCAAAGAACAGTTTTGCCTTCCCGCTTACACGCCACCTGCACCGGCACTGAGGACGGCTCACTCCACGTCGCCCCGCAGACAAACGAGGCGCAGCAGCAGCAGAGCAGCACGAGGAGCGCCAACGCGCACACCGCACGGCGACGCACCGTCGCCATCCTCGCCATCAGCAAAAACAGTGATCGTGGGGTAACAGAGTCGCTGGAGTCAGTGGACTGCGGGGGAGCGGAGAAAAAGAACAGAGAGAGAAATGGGGACCGAGGTGGAGTACGAAGGAGAGAGAGCAGGAAGAAGAAAGGAGAGGGAAAAGACAAGGCAGCAGCGCCCTGCAGCCGCACGAGGAGAAATTTATTCCGCCCCGCCCACGCAGGTGTCTTTGGTAGTGCCAGGGCTTTTGAGGAAAGCAAAAAAACGAACTAAAAACAGTAGACTGCTGCGAGGTCACGGGACACAGCGCCTCTTTTTCCCGCAGCAGCGCAGCCCGCCGGTAAATAAACACAAACACAAATATATATAATTTAAAAAAATAGTACCCTT